GGAAGAGTGAGGCCTGAAGTCCTGAGTTCAAGCTCCAATATGGGTATATTAATAAGAAAAAAACAAAGAAGCAGGGCGCTGGTGGCTCATACCTCTAATCCTAGCTACTCAAGAAGCTGAGATCTGAGGATTGTGGTTCAAAGCCAGCCTGGGCAGGAAAGTCCGTGAGACTCCTTTCCAATAAATCACTAGAAAACCGAAGTAGTGCTGTGGCTCAAGCGGTAGAATGCTCGCCTTGATTTGAAGAGCAAAGGGACAGCTCCCAAGCCTAGAGTTCAAGCCCCATGCCCAACCAAAAAAAAAAAAAAAAGGAAAAAAAAATTCAAAGAAAAGGAAAATGTAGGAAGTACTTGAATTTTTTTGTTCAAACACAAACATCAATACAGGCAAATAAACATTTGCAATTATGTCCAGCCTTATCAGTAATTAGGGAAATTCATATTTGTTTTGAGATTTTAGACTTACAGAAGAGTAATTCAGGAAGGTCTCATTAATCTTTCAAGCAACTTACCAAAAAACATTTTTCAAAATGAGACAATTAACTTTGACACAGTGATATAAAACTACAAAATTAATTTGGGCTCCGCCAGCTTTTCCTCGTCTTTTTTCTGTTCCAGTACCAGGACTTGACTTCAGGGCTTCTCATTCTCACTTAGCTTTTTCACTCAAGGCTGGCATTCTACCACTTGAGCCACACGTACCCAGTTGCTTTTATTATCTTTTGAATTGGGGTCTCAATTTTTGCCAGATTGACCTTAACTTCAAGCCTATTTACGTTCCCTGTGTAAGTGGCATAACAAGTGCGTACCACTATACCCAGTTTAATAGTTGGAATGGAGTCTTAGGAACTTTTGCCTGAACTGGCCTCCAACTGAGATCCTTCCAATCTTAGCTTCCTGAGTAGCTGAGATTATAGAAATGAGCCACTGTGTCTAGCTCCCTCAAGTTAGGTTTGATGTTTTCTCTTGATGAGATCGTGTATTACAATCATGTGCTGCATTATTTGTCAAGTTTGGCCACAGATATGAAGTTGGTCCCATGATAAAGCTGGAAGGTGTATGCCTAGTGATTTTCTAGCCATAGTTGTTATACCATAAATCTTTGTGGTGATGTTGCTTTGACCTGCAGTGCCAGTCTCATAAAAGCTTAGCATATACAATTACGTACAGTACATACCTGAAATGCTAACATATGATTATGTTGCTGGTTTATGTATTTAGTATACTTTTTTTGTTGTTTTTGGTTATGGGGCCTGAGCTCTGGGCCTGGGCACCGTCCCTCAGCTCTTCAGTTCAAGGCTAGTACTTTACCACTTGACCCACAGTGCCATTTCCATCTTTTTCTGCTTATGTGGTGCTGAGGAATTGAACCCAGGGCCTCATGTATGCAAGTCAAGCACTCTGCCAATGAGCCACCTTCCCAGACTTACTATACTTAAAAAAAAATCATTTAGCATACTCCCCCAATTATAAAATGAATTACTGTGTGCTGCATTAAGCTGGCTGTGATGTCAGACTTCTGTTTACAGCAAGAAGCCATGTCAAGCCATTGACCTGTCCAGTAGGTCTCTGTAAGTACACTCTAGTGTTCACACTAGGATGTTTCTCAGAACAGATCCCCAATTAGGTAGAACATGCCTGCATCTGGAAGAATACTAGAAGTATTGGCTCACCATTGCTTAATGGGGGAAAGGGAGACCTTCAAATGAATTACCTTAACCTGTTGCTATCTTCCAGGATTCTCCATGATAAAGCCACTTTTGTTGTTGTTGTTGGTTGTGGGCCTGAACTCTGGGCGTGGGAGCTGTCCCTCAGCTCTTCAGCTTAAGGCTAGTGCTCTACCACTTGAGCCACGGTGCCACTTCCTGCTTTTTCTGATTATGTGGTGCTGAGGAATCGAACCCAGCGCCTCATGAATGGGAGGCAAGCACTCTACTACTGAGCCACCTTCCCAGTCCCTAAAGCCACTATTTTTGTGTATTCAGGAAGATGCCTAGGCAGGAAAGTCCATGAGAAAACCCCCACTATGTCTCCTTTGTAACCAAATACTGCTGTTTGCTGGGAGGTAGATACTTGGGAACTGTATGTATTGAATAGTGTCCCCTGTAAATTCACATCCACTCAGAACCTAGACGTAACCTTATCTAGAAATACTAGAACTGAGGTCCTCAGATCTCAGCTTCCTTACATGTCGGAGCCACAGGCACATATTTGGCTGCTGGCCAGTAGAAAAGTTCAGTGAAAACAGCAAAAATAGCTAGTCCTTTCTCAAATGACCCTTTGTAAAGTGAAATGCTGAGATGACACTCCAGTAATTCACCAGGAATACATACCAACCTTGCATATGTTTGTAACCAACATCACAAACCCTATGGAATACTTACCTTCATTCTGGAGATTGTGAGAAAAAGTGATTCTTAGTATCACTAGTATACAGAAACCCTCCTGCTAATACAACACATGGCTCTTGGAGGCCAAGAGAATATTTGCATGCTGGGGTAGCTTACTGGGAGCTATGGAGCTTCTGCCTCTTTTTGTTTGTTTAGTTTCCAGTCCTGGGGCTTGAATTCTGGGCCTGGGCTCTTCAGCTCAAGGCTAGCGCTCTACCACTTGAGCCACAGTGCCACTTCCGGCTTTTCCTTTTGCTTATGTGGTGCTGAGGAATTGAACCCAGGGCCTCAGGCTTGCAAGGCAAACGCTCTACCACTGAGCCACCTTCCCACCCCGCTTCTGCCTCTTTTTAAGCACTTCAGAGTTACAAAAGCAGCAGCATGGGCTGCTTTTCCCTGATATGGGGTGGGACTCCTTAATTTACTCTGAAAGATGCTGTGGGAGATCCCAGTGACATATCCAAAAAATGGGAAGTGACAGCTTATTTTGAAATGTGGGTAGTATAAATGAGGTAGATGGAGAATTATATATTTCATTATGTGTTGTGTGTCCTGGGTTGAACTTAAGGCCTCACATCTTAAATGTGCATCCACCAATGAACTCTACCCCAACCTGTGTCCGTGTACTTCTTCACAATATACCAAATAATCACACAATGAAATACATATCAATGAACATAAAGGACAGCTATATACAAAAAAGTATGAGACCCTAGGCTATATATTGTATCTCATTCCTATGAAGTCCATACAGAAACAAAACTGAAAAATAAGTCATTTTAGGGATACATATATTAAATCTTTTTTAAAGTCTACGTGATTAAAACTATTAAAAAGAGTCAGGCACTGATGTCTCATGCCCATAAACTTAAGCTACTTAAGAGGCTGAGATCTGAGGATTAAGATTCAAAGCCAGTCCACAAAGGAAAGTCCATGAGATTCTTATCTCCAACAAACTACTCAGAAAAAGCTGGAAGTGTGGAAGTGGCAGTGGCTGTGGCTCATGCCTTATATATGGTGTATTCATGTGCACATCTGCGGGAAGGTGAGGAGGGCACAAACTCAGAGGAAAAAGGGTGAAAAAATGCAGTGCTGGCCGCAGGGGACATTGATGAAAGTGAACTATGGAGGCTGGAGGGAGTGGGAGAGAGTGAAGAAAATGAACTTGTTACTTGACATATGTAAAGATAGCCCCGCTATATGTCACCTGGAAAATAACTATCAAGTAAACTTTAAAAAACAAGAGTCTTGCCAAGTCACACAAGGTTGGCTTTGAACTGTGATTCTCTTATCTCTTCCTCCTGATTGCTAGGGTTACAGGTGTAAACCACTACACCTGGCACACACACACACACAAATTATTTTATTAAAAGTAATTTTCAAGTTTTTTTTCTCAAGATGTCTAGGCCATCCAGCAGATGAAAAGTAGAAGTTGCAAAATTTCTAAAGCCTTCTGAAGACTGCTTCAAAGACCTCAGTCTCCACTGCTGGGCAGATAGTCCACCTTACATAACTGAACTCACTGACACTGGAGACTGACAATGTCAATTTGCTACTCTTCTGAGATGCTACAGAGGAGTACAAAAGAAATTTCACATCACTCAGAGCACTAGCAAGTAAATCTTTTGCTTTCTGCAGTACTGGGAACTGAACTGAGGTTTTCATGCATGCTAAGTAAGCACTTTACCACTGAGCTAAAATAACTCCTTTTGATACTGGGTCTCTCTCCTGTACTGTGGTGCTTCACATTGATAGCCTTAGCATTCAGTATTTCAGCTATTTGTGGGGGAGGAACTTCAATAGTATAATAGGATGTAATTTGTAAATTTGAAATGCAAATGAATTGAGACAGGGTAGAAACTAACTGATGAGTAAACCTATTTATCTACCTAAAGATCTAATTTATTTTTCTTGTGCCAATAATGAGGTTTGAACTCAAAATCTCAAGCCCTTGGCTTTTGTCCTCAAGGCTAGCACTCTCCCATTTGAGCCACAGGTCCATTTCTGGCTTTTCACTGATTAATTGGAGGTAAAGAGTCTCACTGGCTTTCCTGTCCAGGCTGGCTTCGAACTGCTCAGATCTCAGGTGTGAGATACTACCCAGTGTTTAAATCTCAATGTTCTATTGTTGCCTGCACAGCAATGTAAATGCAGTAACTTAGGTAATAAAAATGCTTTAATGTAAAAGAGACTTAAAAACCAGCGCCAGTCATGACATACCTTACTAGTGACAGTTTTAAACTATCACAGCTGCATATAACTTAAATAGTGGAAGAACTATGCAGTAGATACATCTATGATATGCTCACTAGGTAAACTAAGGTCAAGATTAAACATTACTTACATTGAATCATATAAATAAAAGCTACTTGTGCCATGTGGACTGTGCACATGTGTGCACATGCATAGGCAAGCTCCTCAGCAGTGTGAGTGGTGTGATGTCTGTACTATCACTGGGAAGAAGAAACAGCTGCCTGACTTGCAGGTGTGTTTCCTGGGGACTAGACAGAACTTCTCTCAATTTAAGAGTAAAGACACCTGACCATAAGGTGCCAGCTCTTAGCACCAGAGAGAGCCGAAGCTTCACAAGTGAATGACATCACAAATTAGAGAATTTGCCAATCTAGTTCTATGGAAACAGATTACCTCTGACAAAAGGAAACAAAAAAATCCACATTTATGCCAAATAGATTTACAAAGGTAAATCTCTTAAATATTCCTGTAAGTGTATTTTACAATCCTATATAAAATAAAGTGACTGACTAAAAATGTTCAAAGTTTCAGACATAATATATAAATTGAAGTTCTAGAAATAAACATTAAAGTTGTTTCTTAGACAAAAGAATGGTGAGACTCATTGTAGATTCTCACTAACATAGCTCAAAACTTCTGTGGATAGCCAGTATTGACTTTGGAACTCTAAACTGCCACCTGATACTTTTAAGCAAAACGAAATCAAGTGTAGGGCAGCACAATGAATAGACAGTACTCTAATTGGAAGACAATCCCTTCCTTCCTTGATAGGGAATCTTTAGACATCTTTCAGCCATTATTTGATGGGCTAGGAAGCAGGGTCCACTGAGTTCTCCCCTCTGATCTGAAGAGACTCACTGCTGATGGACAGTAATTCTCGAAGCTCCTTATTTTCAAGCTGGAAAAACAAAAATGAAAAAGATATTCATTTATACCTGTAAAGAGACAATGTTTTGGGCCAGGAAGATATAAACAAAGTTTATTTTTATTTAATTTTTATTTTTGGGGCCAGCCCTTGAACTCAAAACCTGCATGCTGTCCTTGTGCTTTTTGCTCAAGGTTAGCTCTACACCACTTGACACAGCTCCACTTCCAGTTGTTTTGGTGCTTGAGTGGAGATAAGTCCCATGGACTTTCTTGCCCAGAGTGGCTTTAAACCACAATCTTCAGAGCTCAGTCTCTGGAGTACCTAGGATTACAGGCATGAGCCACATGTGCCCAGCAAATATTTCTGGCAGTTGTTTTTTGTTTCTTGGCCAGTTCTGGGGCTTGAACTCAGGGCCTGGGCGCTATCCCTGAGCCTCTTTGTGCTCAAGGTTAGTGGGCTCTACCAACTGAGCCACAGCGCCACTTCTGGCTCATGGACTTTCCTGCCTGGGCTGGCTTCTAACTGTGATACTCCGATCTCAGCCTCCTGAGTAGCTAGGATTATAGGCATGAGCCATTGGCATCTCGTTTTTATTTTTGACAGATATACCTTTTTTTGCTGTAGTTTATTTTTCAGATAGATTTCTCAATTTTGCCACGAGTGCACCCACCCTGAATTCAAGCCCCAGAACCAGCATACATGCACACACTCACAAGTGCCCAAAACACTCAAGCTTATAAAATGAATGAAACTCAGTGTAGATCCAACAGTTCTTTGGCTTGTACTTCCCCTTAAGGATTTTTTTTTAGAAAAAATTGTAACTATCTCTAAGTGGTTGTACAAAGTAGTTGCCATTCAAAATTTGTGTATTTATGTGTATGTCAGGGTACTGTCTCTGAGCTTTTTCAGCTCAAGGTTAGTGCTCTGCCACTTGAGCCACAGCTCCACTTTTGGCTTTTTGATGATTAATTAAAGAATCCTATGGACTTTACTGCCAGGACTGGCTTTGAACCACAATCCTCTGATCTTGGCCTCCCATGCAGCTAGCACCAAACCTAAGATTTTTTTTTTCCAATTTGGACAAATTTTTTTTTTTTTTTTGGGGTCCGGTCGTGGGGCCTGAACTCTGGGCCTTGGCACTGTCCCTCAGCAATTCAGCTCAAGGCTAGCACTCTACCACTTGAGCCACAGCGCCACTTCCGGCTTTTTTTTCTTTTTGCTTATGTGGTGCTGAGGAATCGAACCCAGGGCCTCATGCATGCAAGGCAAGCGCTCTACCACTGAGCCACCTCCCCAGCCCCCTGGACAAATTTTGTTTAGATAGTACCTTTGCTTTCAGATAGACTACATTAAGCCCCAACTTCATTCCTTGTCAGCTGGTTAACTTTGATAAGAGCCTTAGTTTCTTTAAGCCCTCCTTGCTTCTACTCTGTAACATGGAGACAATAATCATTACAATGAAGACAGCCACTAAGGATGAAAGCATTGCCACTACTCACTAAGGAAAGCAGCTATTACTGTCGCTATGGCTGACATTTCGCAAACTCGCTGTTTGCCCCTATTAACCTCATGACCTTTTTTTTTCTTTTTAAAATTATTTTATTTTATTATTATTATAGAGGGATTACAATTCCATGAGTCAGGTCATGAGTACATGTCTTCTGTTCTCTTCTTCCCTCTCAATCCCTCCCACCCCACTGTGTCTCTACTCACAAGTTGTATAGTTCATTTTCATCAGTGTTGACTGAGCTTCAATGCTGTACTTTTTCACCCTTTCTCCCTCACGTTCTGAATCCTCTCCACAACCCTTCCAAAGGTGTACACTTGAATACACCATACATAGGGCAAAGAAGATAGAATCATTAAAAACTAAAACTTAGAGATCTTTTGTTTCCATATCTTGGAGTTTGTTTCAATATGTAAATTACTTTATATAAATACTGCATATATAAGTATTCTCACTGTGTGTGAATACCTAGAATTCTGTGTAATTTATCGTATCCTGGTGTCTTTTAAGTCTAATTTTTGCCTATCAGAATGTGCCCTGTTTGTTTCATGACCTCTTTTTTAAACAGGTTAAGTGTCAGAAGATGACCCTATAATATCAATTTGTGTGCTGTAAACATGAACCAGAACCTTCAGGTACTTTGAACGAGTATTTTACATGCCTGTGTAAGATTGTTTTTCTCTCTCTCTTGTCTTTCCTTCCGAAAGAAATGTCTCTCTTCTGAGCTCCAGGTGAAGGTCGATGAGCTGCCTCACTCGCTGGGTGCTGTTGGTCTGGGCCCCAGCCTGGGCATCTCTTCGATAAATGATGGTGAATGTGCCACTCACCCTCTCTCGAATGCAAATACAAAATCATCATAGGGTGTTTTCATCAACATCACACTTCTGTTTGAGGTAAAGGTGAACATCTGTGTCAAGCATGCATGTTTTCCTGCTTCCTGCATACACACACAGGAATCAGTCTTGCATGTGGCCACTGAGTTGGCATTTTTCTCTGGTCACCTCTGGTGGCTGTCTATTCCACTGTCTCCTTCCCTGGAGAAATTCCTACTTTTTTCTAAAGAAGAAAGTGCTTTTGTTAGCAAAGGCTCATTGAGCTTCTTGAGAGGGAGAAGTGATCCCTCCATGTAGATTCTTCCAGTGGGTTCCAAAGGCCTGAAGTATAAAGTGGAGTTTTCCTTTTCTAGATCCATGACCACTCTTTCCAGTACAAACTGACTCTGAAAACTGGAGAGATCCAGGAGAGTCTTTATAGAGCTGAAAACCTTTTCACTCAGATGAGATACTTTGAGTTGAGTATGTCTAGCCTTCCCATCTAGGCGATATTTCTTTTTTCTCACAACATTCTCTGCAACTTCTTTTTCTTTGAATGTTACAAATGCAACTCCTTTGGTTCTTGTTGGAGAAATAGTTTCAACATTGCCTCTCATTCTTAATATCTTGGAAGTGACTCTTCACAAATGCAGCCATAATTGATTACAAGGTTTTCTGTAAGACCAGCAACTACTATATTTCTCTCAGCAGCTGTGAATTCCCTGGCACTCAAAGCTGATGCCCTAGCAGAGAGCAAGGCACTCCTGATGTGTGAAGGACCAAGATTTTCTTTTTTAACAGTTTCATTATGTAGTTCTGAAAATCATGATTCTTCAGACCTCCTGAGTGCTAGGATTACAAGTGTGCATACTACCATGCTTGGTTAACA